CTGGAGAATGTCAGATCATTCTATTTATTGTACTAGAAGCTAGACCACAGTTGGTAAGTGACTCATTTAAATGATGTGCAGAACCATTTTCAGTTTTTTTAAGAGCAGACTTTTAGTACAAAGATTTAGACTGTCCTGCTTTATCATATACTAATCAGAAACTAATTCTTCAAATTTGACTTCAGTAAATTTACAGCAGTGAAATATGAGGGGAAACAACATTTAATTTAAAAATAGTACAAGGCATGTAATGCTTGTGAAAGTTGCCTGCTTGACAGCACTGTAGACTGAAGTGCTGTTTATCCTCATAACAGAAGAGTAAAGCCACCTCCTCAAGCTACCCCATGTCTCCACCTTGTAGGAATTATGGAGAACTGTGATTACTGAGCAAACCAATCATCCATCTAGTTTGATATCCTGGGTCAAAGCTGGATGCTTTACAGTATCAAGTAAAATCCCCACAAGTCCTTGAAATTCAGTTATAGTTAAAATAACAGCAAATAGTGTTTTTATTCAGGTAGGCATCTAATTGTTTTTTTTATTTGACTACTACTAACAAGTACCCAGTGGCACTGAGTTCCAGAGGTTAACAATACATTATGTGAAAAGGTATTTTCTTTAAATTTGTTTGCTTTTAATCTCATCAAACAAACAGAAAAATGTAAATAGGGATATCTGGCTAGATTTCTCTGTACCACTCAACACATTTAATCCTAGTATGTTACAGAAATTGATTACTCTTTTCCCTCTCCCACAATCACTTGTGTCAGGATATGTCCCTGATTGGTTACAAAGTAAATAAAACAGAAAACCAAAGGGATAAAACTACCCCTAATGTTGATAAGTAATTATTTTAATACTTAAAAAGAATGTCCATCCCAAGTCTGGACTCTGCAGCACAGCTCCAACTGTAACAGCACTACTGTCTAGCACTAGTGACCCTGTATCACTATCTATAGCTCTGACCCTTCAAAGGATCTAAGATGGAAGAGCAATTCTGCTCAGTCTTCTAGTGTCACAATTCAGGGCAACTGTACCTGTATTCCCTCTCTATGGCCCAGCAAGGGCACACCGGCTTAAAGGCTTCGAGCTCCTCAGCAGTCATCTCTCTCCCTCCTGACCCGACTTTTTACAGGATGCTCAGTTAACACCCTACACTGCGTTATTCAAAGCAAGTTAAACTGCCTAATCAGGCCATCATCTGCACTTTGCTTACTCTTTGAAGGCTATGAATAATGAAATTGCCCACAGGTATAAGTCACCACACAGCTCTTTCTAAGCAAGCACATTTATTCTCAAGGTGAAAACATTAGAGAGAAAACATAAAAACATATGCACATGCTCATAAGCTTACTAGAGATCACCCCTCCAACACCAGCAGGGACTCTGCGAGGAGTCAATCCTTCAAACTCCAGCAAGAGTTTTTGCTGTGGTTACAAGTTCATAATAGCCTCAGCGCAGAACAAGCACGTTTACCACACATCAGCCTGTTTCTTTATACATCTTGGCTCTTTGAACTTTAGCCTTTGGAAACAGGTAACAGCAGACAATGGTTCTCTTAGGGCGTAGGGTCAAGAGGTTGGGTTTTCTGAATAATTTGTGGAGGGCCTTTGCATTCACTTCCCCCCATATGTTTCCCAGGAATTCTACTTCACACACATTGTCCCAAAGGATCATTTTTGTCTGCTGCAGTACTCAATATAGTCCTTTGATCATCCAACCCTACAATTATACACAACCTTTGCATTTAACACAATTGACTCCATAGATACGTAATCTTAATTCAGTAAGGTTTTTCAGTGATATTGCAGGAAATTGACATATCTGTCACAAGTAGGAATCTACACGAACACAGAAGTCCACTTTTGTCCCAACACAGATCATGGAATTCATTGGAGCTACACTGGACTCTATCAGGGCCAGAGCTTATCTCCCTCAAGACAGATTCCAGTTGATGAACAATTCAATCAGTCAGTTCAGAAAGAGCCTACAAAAGTTGGTTCATTCATGTCTCATCTTCCTGGTCGACATGGTGTCCTGTTCTTGTGACAGCTTCTTTAATACTCCAGCTCCACTGTCTACAAGCTTGGCTTTGGCTAATACACCTGCCAAGCAGTCACACTATGGACAAGTTAGTCACGCTTCCCCCGTGCCCCCTCCTCCCGCCCCCAGGCTGAAAGATGCTCTCCAGTGCATGGGAGTCCCCTTCTCACTGTCTCCACCCCAGAAGACATTGATCACATATGCCTTCCCAGTAGGGTGGGGCACCCATCTGAATGGGCATACAGCACAAGGAACATGGACTCCACGGGAGTCCAAGATGCACATAAAACTCCTGAAACTGAGAGCTGTCTTAGAAGCCTGCAAACAATTCTTACTGATCATACACTCCTAGCACATCCAGGTAACATCAGACAACATGACGACATTGTTCTACATCAACAAGCAAGGGGTAACATGATTTACCTCTTTTTGCATAAAGGCAGTCAATCTGTGGAACTAGTGTATTCGACACCAGATCACCCTATCAGCAGTACACCTCCCAGCAATACACAACACACTAGCACCAGCCTCAGCAGGCATTTCTCCCTGGACCACTAACAAGAACTACATGATTCTGTGGTGAAGAGCATATTCAGATAATAGGGATCTTCCTCCTGGGATCTGTTTGCATCACAAGAAAACAGGAAATGCAAGATATACTACTCTGGGGGGGGGGGGTCTCAAATTCAGGACTCCAGAGGAGATGCTCTCTTATTCATACAATATGCTTTCCCCTCCTTCCCACTGCCCCACCCATCAGCAAGAATTACCTTGACCTCTCAGGAAAATCCAGCAGGACAGGGCAGTGATCATCTTCATTGCTCCCAGCTGGCGCAGATAGTTTTGGTTCCCCAGCCTTCTCCAGCTGTCAGCCGCTTCACCTATCAGCATCCAACCTTCCCATGCCTCTTGACACAGAACACACGCAAGATCAGACATTTCAACCTGGACTTCCTCTGCCTCACAGCTTGGTATTTGGAGTTGAACCTAGAGCAGACATGTTCAGTAGCTATTCAAACCATCCTTAACAACAGGAGGAAGAAATGTACCAGAAAACGTTACCTAGCTAAATTCAAGAGATTTTCTGTTTGGGTTCAACATCACCAAATGTCCCCAGAAGAATCAGACAGTCCCACCATTTTAGACTATCTGCCCTTCTTGAAGACCTCAGGTCTTTCCTTTAGCTCTCTGTGGGTACACTTGGCAGTGATGCACCTGTCACCCTTCAATTGACAACCACTGAATTTTCACCCATTCAGTGACTGTACATTTTCTAAAGGGTCTAGGCAAAACCATCCCTCCCATGAGGAAACCTGCCAAGCCATGGGACCTTAATTTTGCAGTCCCTGACTCAGAACATCTTTATTGTCAGACTACATTTAAAAGGTACAATGTCTGCTTAGTTGTATGCTATCAAACATATACATACCTTTACTACAAGCAATGTGATTATTACTGGAAATGACAGGTTTCAGAGTAGCAGCCGTGTTCTTTTTACTGGAAATGTAGAGAAAAGAATGCTCTATATAGTTTACTTTGTGTATTTGATGGCATTGTGCTTAGTCAGTCATTTACTCAGCTTCTTTACTTTCACCTGTACAAAACTGGAAAATGTGATGGTATAATAAAAAAAAAAAAAAAAAAATTAGGCAGGGAAACATCAGTAAAGATATTACATGAATCTACCTTCAACTCCCTTGCAACTGACTTCATTAAGTGGACATTGCCTTTTAAAAGCAAACATATATCATTGCATATTCACTTATGGACACAAAAAAATGTATGTGTGATGAAAAAATGAAGCCAAACTTCCAGTGTATTATAAACACCACATTGTACAACGGTGCAGGAATTGAAGGTGGACACTCACATGTGATCCTTTGAGCCAGGAGAGAGGTAGCATTCCATATGGTGCTGCCGTGACTCTGACTGCTGCTATTTGTTTTAGTTACGTTAATTATTCAAGGGTTTCTGTCAGCAAGATTATATTTTATTGTAGCTGGAAGCGCAAGTCCTTTTAAATTTACACAACTGAAGAATAGAATGATTCAGTGATCAAAAGCCAAGAATCTTTCCAGTTTGATAGTTTGTCAGTAATTGGTTTCCAACTGTATTATAGTAAAGGCCATTTGTATTTATACAATGAAAGGCCTTCTCTTGCAAGCACTTATGCCTAAGCATAACTTTAATCAGCTGAGTAGTCCTGTTGGCCTCAGAATATTCATGTGAGTAAAGTTAGTTACAGCTGTACATAGGTATCAACAGGAAAGAACACTGAAGTAGAGTGAAGCATGGTCTGTACTGTATGACCTGAGAAACTCAGATTCTGCTAGATTTGCTTAATATTTGGAGCCCAGTGACTAATGGGGTCTCATTTTAAATAGGTCCACATATGTACCCATTCTTGATGGGAGAATGAGAGAATTGCTGTTACAGAAAGAATAAAATTTCAAACATCACTTGTTCTTGTGCTGCCTGCCCCACAGGTAAGCTCTGGCAGAAAGACTTACTACAGTTAAGGATCCCAAATTCTGGATTTCTCAGGGTTCTGTTCACCAAAATCTATGCTGTTCCTCTTCCCATTCAATTCTGACTTTTTCCATACAGTTCTACTGTAGGCAGAATGACTTGCCAGAAAGACTTGTTTAAAAAAAAAAATCCTACTATAGCTGGTAAGCTATTTCAGAACCACTTTTTGTATTTCTTTCTCAGATATTGCTATACACTGGATACAATATTGTTGAAGTGTACAATATTCTGGCTTATGTTATGGATTATTTTTTTTTAAAACCCTCCCTGCACAATTTCCTTCCTGTTTTGTTTTTATAAATAGACTCCTGCCACAGGAGAGCAGTGGAGAGAACTTTCAAGTTCAAGAGCTGTGGTAGGAATGAAGTTACACATCAGTTATTTCAGGCATTTAAATAAAACAAAACAAACCAGACACAGACAGCAGATGATTTACTCAAAACTAGTTTTATTTTTTAAAAAAATCCAAGTGCATAGCACTCATCCAGATTCCATTGTTGTGGATGTTTTGCATTTATGATCATTTTTAATTATGCCATTAAATGCACATTCTGGTTCGCTCAGTAAGAACCTGAAGTAGTGTATTTAATGGACACTGGTAAAGCCCTTTTTCAATAACACATTGGAATTGTTCACAGTGCACGCTTTCTCTGTTTTCATTGATACTGTAATGTCAGACACAAACTAAATAATAAATAAAAAAAACAAAAAAGCATGTAGTGGATCCTTTTACAGTTAAGCCTAATGCCTTAAAACACAATCAAAATACCCTACTATATGTAGACTTTGCTGTATTAACTAACTGAATAATCACCCCTATAATTCCAGTGTTAATTACCTAATTTTATATATAAAATACTTGAGATAGATTTACTAATATTTCAAAAGAATCTATACTGCTCCATCACAATTAAAGATGACATTTAGCCAAGATATGCATTTTACAGACAAATTGCTACAGGCATCTGCTGTTATTTCAAGTCATGGTCCATCAGAACACTGTACATTCACATAAACGAGGTAGTTAGAGTACTGAAAACTTGGACCTAGCATTGCAATAAACTGAAATCTGAAGATGGAAGACAGTTTCCCTTTTGGTTCTATTCCCCTTCTCTCCAAACTTAAATGAAAAACAGTTCAGGCATTTTAGGAGGTAGGAAACTTGCTTGCCCCATCCCACCAAAAAAGAAATAATTTTGGGGGAGTGATGGAGGGAAAAAGAAAGGTGGCTCTTTGAGGAGGTAAAAATAGTTGATATTGTGCTCACCTGGAAGTTCAGTCTCTAGCATGAAGTAGAGAGGCTTAATTTCCCCTTACACATTCTCCCAATCCTCCACTCCACCTCTCTCCCCATGAGAAAAGGACAATTTGAAACATGATGTGTGTTAAAATAACTATAGACACAGAGGATTTCTTCTCCTCCGTAATAAAGGATGGGTTATTGCAACATATGGTTCAGCTCCAGGAAGAGCCATCAGAACAAGAAGAAGTATCTTCATCAACTACTGAATATTTTGAGATGGCTCCCTCTCCCAAGTTAATCTTCCATATTAATATTGATGTCAAACACCCCTTCTTTCCCACTCCCAATATTCTTTGCAACATATAGTGTGCGTGAACTTCCACTGATCATATAGTAATAGAAGGTCTGGCCTCATGTCTGCCATTTAACCATGCTTTTAAGTGCTGCCATTAGAAATTAAACAAAAACAAACATACATTTAAACCAGTAGGGCTCTCTCCATCAATTCCCTCTCCCGTACCAGATCAGGGGGAGTCAACTGCCTGATTTTGTAAACAAGGAACTTCTCCATTAATATACTATCCTCAACACCACCTTCATCCTCTGGGGCTGGAGGAATGAAACTTCCTACTCTCAGGCCATCTGATTTGTGGGTAATATTGAAGCTCAGACAGCTAATGAGCATCCTGCCTGTGACCTAGCAATACATTTTTGTTCCAGCAGTGAGAATGCCGATCTTGCTCTTCAATGTGAGACTTCTGTGAAGCAGAAGAAGGAGCTGCCACAGCATTACCTGAGAACTTATTTCCCTCCCACCCTGCACCAAGCCTGACATACGAAATACTGACTTTTTGTAAGCATTTAACGGTGCCTTTTCTGTGTAGAGAATTTATAGACTGAAAAACCAGAGGATATTTTGTATTGGTTGTGTTAATAAAATATTTTTTAAAAAATCACAACCATGAGTTCTGGTACAGTATTAGTTCAGCTTAAACGTAAGAAACTACTACTACTCTGTAATCATTTGATAACAAGATTGTTGGGTGGCAGGGAGTAATTAGGACTACACTTCTACTTTATACACTTACAAATCCCTTTGGTACTCTGCACTGTAGATGCCCTGAAAGAAATACCACCCTGGATTACACCCAGTTAAGTGTACACACAAGCAGCACAGAGTCATTCTGAATAGATAATTCCCTGAGTTAGTGAGAAAGTGTTATTCTAAACATCTGAATCAAAAGGAAAATATGTAACATCTGTCCTGTGAGGCACAAGATTTAAAAACAAACAAACAAAAAAAAGTCAGTTAACTCAAGTGCCTTAAATTGGACATACATTTTACATTATAAGAGCATGAGCAAAAAAATGACAAGTAATTGCATTACTGATTTAGTCAGTGAAAGTTTGTTTCTCTCTACATGGCCCCAGTGTTTCTGGGGAAGCCCATCATTGCTTAGTGGATTCTTAAGTTTCAATTTACCGAAAGTAAATCTTATTCAGTACTATATGGAAGTATTGCATAAATATGACCTCTTCAAAGTAATACTGTATATCTCCTTCATTAAAAGATATGCCTCTAGCCAGTCCACAGCCATTTTTCTCTTGACCTGAATTTCAAAAGTGGCTGTTAAGAGCACACAGTGCACTGGAGTGTCAAAAGTATTAGCACATGACTGCCATGCACACATTCCCTTTAGAAAACATACTACATACTCGTTCTTTGCAGAATCTGTACTTGAGCTAATCGGATGCCAATCCAGCTGTTTTCCTTCTGGAAAGAGTGCTACTTTTATTTAGATTGTTGCCCTCAAACTTATTTGAGGTTTGACAAAAATTAGGGTATCTAAATTCGTATTCATCACCTCTCAAAGCAGGGAGTAATACAAGGATACCGTCCATTGATCTGGTAACTCCGGTTGTACGAGACACTTATACATGGCTTCACTTCTATTGGAACTGCTAGTGACATACTAGCACCAGTCTGTATGTGACCTCGAGCCTGAACACTGGATTGTAAGCCAGCAGGGCAAGTCTGCAGTGGGTAAGAGGACGTGTGACTAGTTGACACCATCTGCTGACAGTTTTGCTGTTGTGAGGTTTGATGGTGATACTGTAATGGAGCTTGATGCGCCTGGAGATACTGTGATACATGTTGTTGAACATGAGCCTGCTGTGGAGTTGGAGTCTGGGTAGGAAACGCGCTCTGTTGTGCAGGCTGGGCATGTTGTCCTTTTTGCTTGTTTGCTTCTTTTACGTCATTATCATGAGCACTAGAATACAAAGAGAAAATAAGACCATTTTAGTCAACTTTATGTATAGTTTTAAGTGTATCCTTTAAATATCAAAAACTATTTTTAAAAGGCCATTTAAGAAGCAATTCATATTCTTTAAAGATGTACACTAGGAAGTTTAAATGATTTTAAAGGTTAGGGCCAAGAACTTGCAAATACTTCTATTAACATTGTAGCCTTTTTGAATTTAAGAGTTAACGAAAGTAGTCTGCTTGGATATAAAGAAGTCAGAGCAGTAACATTTGCTAGTACAACATTACAGTGACAGTGTATGAGAATCTGAAAGTGACATTTTTGGTGGCTAATCTGCTCCTAGCAATGAATGATTGTATTGTGACCATCTCAACTTCTCTGAGTCATTGATACTACTGATCATGAGGGACTACTGACTTGCTCGTGGTGCCTTGTTGGAGTGACCCTGCAGTCGCTCTTCCCCTTCCTCTTAGGCCTTCCAGAGAGGTGTTGAGTACTTTCTTTCCCACCCCAATGGCATTCTTGGTATCCTTATTCTGCCACAAGGTTTGATACTGTAATGCCTCGTGATTACTGTGTACAGTATGCAAGGCCATCAAGGGAGATAGTTATGGGCTAGAGTGCCACCTGCATGGAGAAGACAGTTTCTCTTCAAGTCTGGATTCAGATTTTTCTGTTCTTTATGTGCTAACCAAAGTTTGGACGTGGATGGGAGCAAATGTCAACAAGAGGGAAGTGAGGCTGGTGGCCTAGGGATTCATCTAAAAGAATGGAATTGATTAATTGGGGGATGTACTTTCACCCTTTTCTAGTATGGTTCAGTCTTGTGGTCCCATTGAATCCCTTGGCACATCTGATATGTAGATAACACTGGCCTGCAGTTTTTCCATTTATAAATAATGAGAAGGCAAGTTTCCCCCTCTTAGTTGTGGACCCCTTCATAACTATCCACACTTTTATAACATGCTCCATTGGGAGCATCCTCTACTCAGAAAGCTCTAAATTCCAGAGGCTTAAGTAGACCTCCTATGTGCTCAGTACAATTCACTGGATACCTATTAAATTCAATTCTCTAAAGCTCTATGCAGATTGGGAGCCAGTTATTTAAGGAATCTGCTTCCACAGGTTTATTTGGAACAGCTGAGATCTGCTACAGCACCCCAAAGGCACTCAGGTGAAAGTCCTCCCCTTGCTTCCCCATACTCCAATCTTTTGAACTTGCTACTTGACTGCCTACTGCAGCCCAAGTTTGGTGATGTTCAGATCATGCTGCATGTCTTTTTTCTTCTGTTGTGCTTTTGTCTGAGTATTTTATTTGCTGGGAGGAGGGATGAAGGAGTTAGGTTAGGTGAGGTTTTTTGAAAAGCAGAGAGGGACTGACTTTAGGTTGGCTTAATAAATATTGTATAGTACCTGGGTACTTTTGACATAGATGTTGCACAAACTCACTTCTAAATAAACTACTGTTTTTGTAAATATTGTTTTTTAGTGTAAGTGTCCTTTAAATATACCATGCTGTTACAGAGACAAAGCCTTTACAAATGAGAAGCCAACATAAACTTACATTAACAGTCGTTCAATACACGGAACCAGGAAGTCCCAAGAGTATGCAGTAAGACGATGCAGTCGAGTTGGCCATGTTGGAGAGAGACGCAGGATAATCCTTGAAGAAGCCACACATGCAGTAGCCACTAACGAAGGAGCATAATTTAAAAACACATGATCTGGATAGACACAAAAATTGTTTAGATGAGTCAGACACAAATATTATTTAAGAAATAAGGTTGCATTAACTAAACCATGCAACACACCTTGCAGAGATACTTCCAGAAAGTAATCAGCATATTTTGCCATGTATAACTTGGTCTTCTCTAAGGAAACCATTGGCCAGCCATCGTGGAGATCTGTCTCATGGACGGCAATTGAAAGGTAATATTCAATGAAGTGAGCAGCAGTTGGGAGGCACAAGTTCCACTGAAATGTTTCTAGCAACAACAGCTCCATGTGTAGCAAGTTCTGTTTTGTTAATACCAGATTCATGTTAGTCATACAACCCAAGCTGTTCAATTGTTCGAGCTTAGGGACACTGTCTTCCTTCTCTTCAAATTTACCTTGGGGTGGGGGAAGAGGAAGAAACATATAAATATAATTAGAAACATGAGTACAACATAGCAGCAAATGCAGTTTGGTGTATCTTTAACATTAGGGTACTTTTCAATGTAAACACTTGCTATACAATTGTTTTGCCATGTCAAATAGGCTCCTGCATGCAAAACTCAATGGGACGCCTGAGGAGAGGCGTACTGTCAAGGGTTAAGCTTCAGCAGATAGTTGCTATGCAACCTATAGGATATTACAGCAGTGTCACACTTCCTGTTGTCTCTTCATAGCTTCTCTCACACAAACAAGAGCCAGTTGCAGAGAGAGAGAATACTGATGATGGTATGGTGTAGCCTGACCGTAATTCATAAATGACTTCTTGTTATTCATTAAGTTATCCTAAAACCTATCCCGGTAACTGCTGAAGTACCATTGAGACTAGCCTTAATAACTAAATAAAATAGTGCAAGAGTCCGCCTTTAGTTTTTAGCTTAAAAGTCTTTCCCTGTTCAAAGTGCAGTAGGAAGAATCAACTTGGTATAGAGGCTCTAATGATTTCAGTGTTTACAGGTACATTTAAATTCAATAACTGACTTAAGCAGAAATTGAGCCCTTCGGTCTGAATCCAGTGAGTTTCAGTAATCTGTATCTGGAAATGCATATTGTCATTTATGTAGACTTCCACAACTGTCCCTCCTTTTAAGTTCGTCAGTACTTAGATTGTGAATCCCAGGGGACAGGGACCATCTTTTTGTTCTGTGTTTGTACAGCACCTAGCACAATGGGATCCTGCTCCACACTAGAACATCTAGGTGCTGCAGTAATATAAATAATAGTAGTAGCTCCACCCCCTCCTGGACTTTGCCTTATCATACGTGTATGTTTTAGTCTAACATGAAGTTATACATGTAAAAGCCCAGCAATAATGGATGCAAGTGCCACATTTCTATGGAACTCGCCACTGTTTTGCTACCCCAGTTTCACCCCACTTTCCTCCTTTCTTACACTCTTTCTACAGAAGGTGAAGTTATGTTCTTTTAGTAAATAAGGACTCTTCAGTAGCAGTGGGACTCAGTCCACCGAATTAATTCCCTTGGTTCTTCCAATTGTGGAAGGTACCTGTTTACTTTTTGTTCATATTTTAGTTCTCACAAGAGGACATAAATCCAAAAGTGACATTCAAAATGTCTTTTCAGCACCTACAACAGATGAGACTTTTCTCCTTTTTCTGTGTATAATCTGGCAACTTGGGAGGTGGCAGGTGACTGCCTTTAAAAAGAGGGCTCGTTTTCTTGTAATTCCTTCCTAAATTTTATTTTAAAAGCTTTACTCAATTTATTTGTGATGTAAACACTGATCTGTGATTGTAGCTTTTAGTGTTCTTCCCCCCCCCTTCACCAAATACCAACACAATTTGAAAGTCTTGAGAGAGGCCCGCATATTGGACCAAATTCAGCTGTGCTAATCTTTTATACATTATTTTCCTTCTAAATCTGCTTGATCACCTCAGAATGATCCTTTAGTTGGTACAAGAACCTAAGTCAGTTAAGTTAGTGCCAAGTATCATGGGGTAGCCGTGTTAGTCTGGATCTGTAAAAAGCGACAAAGAGTCCTGTGGCACCTTACAGACTAACAGACGTATTGGAACATAAGCTTTCGTGGGTGACTACCCACTTTGTCAGATTAGTGCATAATACTTACTTGCTAAAAGTAAACAGGAAAGAGCAACCACATGTAGCTGCTGAATGGATATATCATAGCGGTCCATGAAGAGGTCCAGTAGATAGACAGCAAGATGTCGCGCAGCAGGACAGAGTCTGAAACGATTGCTCACAATGGCAATCAGGTCTGCAAAATATCTTCTCAGATTTAACTGGGGAGACTGGCCTTTGTAGGAGGGAAGCTTCAGCTCCTAGACAGAGAGCAGCATCTAGTTGCAGTACAACCACCATTACTTTTATGCAAATACACTTGCCAAAAATACGTAAGAAAATTGACTGGATTAATACATAAAGGAATTTTCAAAGCAGTTTTTAGGAGGCACAGTCATGATTTTGCTATTTATTTTCACATAGTGGAACTGTTCTCTTGCTGAGGATGCCTATTTATTATCTTATGACACCTATACAAGGAGTATCTAGATTCTACAAAACAATTATTTAAAATAGAACGCTCTTATAAAGCTCACTTGGCCCAAAACTTAGAAACAAACAAGCCAAATAAGGTTTGACTGAACATAATGACAGACTGACAAAGAAAAACCCTTGTGGCATGGTCCGACTATAAAAAAAAAATCAGACTCTGAAGGGACTGTTCCAAGGACAAGAGCCTTAACTGCTAGGACAGTGTTCTTCACTGTGGAAGGCGGAATTCCAGGCAACTGCAACCAAAACAACACAGCTGATCTCCACTATCACAAATGAACAGAGAGAAAGAGCTACACTCTGGAACTCCAAGATTTGATATGGTTTGGGATCATAATGCTTATTGTAATAACATTTCCCAGCAAGGGGCCTATTTTGAGACACCAGGTAGAGTTGAGATAACTGGAAAGTTTATAGATCCATAGACTTTTGGTCAAGAAGGGACCATCACCATCCTTTAATCTAATCTCCTGCACATCACGAGTGTAAGGTAAATTCTAGAGTTTTAAAATCATATGATTATCTTTAAAATAACCAGCCCTTTAAATAGTTTCAAACCATAAGATTATTAAAGTTGTCAGAAGTTATTTACTTTCCTTTGCAATTAGAATCTATTGTACGTGTTGTTGTTTCTTGTACATGGGCCCAGTAATGTGCATTGCTTAAGTGATCTGACCATCAAGAAAGTTAATGCAATCACCAAAACTGCTTAGCCACATTTTTACTAGGTTAAATCATTGTTAACCTATTTACAACTGTTTGGGATAAGGTAAGCCTTATTATCAAGAAGCAATATCCACAAACACTGACATGAGTCAGCTCAGAGCTAAGAGGGGTTTCAAAACAGGATTGCCCTAACATTTATTATTGTTACTGCACCCATTTATAGAGCACTCTTCTACATAATAGCTCTTTATTTTTTTACATAGTTTAAACTTGGATCTATTAATACTTCCAGAAAAGGGCCAAATGCACCAAGACCAAAGGGCAGAGATAGGGGAATACCTGTGTAAATACTCAGGATGCAGTACAGATAATCAGGATAGTATATACTTGGTGAGGTTACATATCTCAGCAGTTCAGTTGTTACCACATGTTCTGCTGGAGCCAAGTCTTTTTCCATGCAGTTTTCAATTAACCTGACTTTAAACTAGCATGTTTATTTTCCTTTTATATAGCAGATTTGGAAATAATGACTGTTATAGATTTACGACAAAATTTAGCACTGACATAGTAATTGTGCTGGAGGTTACCACACTTTTTATTTTGCAGTCTGCCTCCAGGGCAGGTACCAGAAAATTAGGGTCCAGCATTCTTAACAAGGTGGGGAACTTTCTTCCAAGACCTGTAGCACTGGCCTCCCCTCTAATAGCCTTTTAACAACTCCTCCTCCCCCTTTGCCTGCAAGGAGCCAACCAGCTTCACTGTCACATGTTAATCAATGCCTTTATGTACTGAGAGGGCTGAAACGCAGTGCAAGCAAGTGCTACAGTTCAAGTGTCAATTTACTTTATCTAACTTTAATGACAATGGGGACATATGCAAACCCTTGCACCTGAGGAGCCCAAAGCATCGTGCAAAAACCCAGTGAATGAATCCGTCCTCCCAACCCCCATAGGAGGATCTTTGCACGTTATGCAGATGGAGACGCTAGTTTTAAGATTTAGGTACACGTGGACTTAAAATGCCCAGACACAGGATCCCCCGTGGCTAAATCCTCTGAGAGCCTAACGATAAAGGCTTGAGACAAAAGGAACAGTCAGTCGCCTTGCCCTTTGACCTGTCCGGGGCACTGCCTCCCTCGCTCCCTTTTAGGGACTGTCTGAGACCGTCCTCCTCTCCTGCCACTCAGGAAGGGAAGAGCCTCGCCTCCTGCCCTGCTCAGTCCCCTGCCCGCGCAGCCCGGAGGCTGCAGCCGAGTAAGGGGTCCGGCTCCCTCTGCCGCAAAGTCACTGAAGAGCCCTGGTCAAGGTACCTTGTAGCGAAGCGCTTGGTGGATGTCGGCAGCCAGCTGTCCTTTCCACCACTGCCCCTCCAGCTCCATGGGACGGGACAGGACAGGACGAGACGGCAGAGAGTCACAGCGGCACACGGCGAAAGGCAGCAGCCGAAGCCTGCGCAAAAGGGGAAGAAGCGGCGCCCACTCAGTCCAGCCGCGAAGCCCAGTTTAATTCTCGCCCACCTCCCCCCCTTAGCCCCTCTTCATTTGCACCCAATTAAAAGCAGCCAGTTACTCCTCTGCCCCCAGCGCACGCTCGGCTCTCTCGCCCTTCCCCCGGGGAGGCACCAGCAGCCCCGCTCCCCCGCCACAGCTGATAGTCGTGCACGTTTCGAGGCGGGGCGGGGGGAGCTGAGTGCAGAGACCCCAGGGGCACTTCTTGCTAAGGCGCAGCATCGTGTGTCCCCCCCCCGATCCCGGCTGGGCTCCGCGCCAGCCTCGCACTGGAGCTGGCCCTTTTTTCTATCAGCGCCGGCTGTAGGGGCACAGACTCCGCCGGGCGGGTGCACGGCTCCTCCCCCGGCACTGCCCGGAGAAAACCCGGCGGAGGGGAAGGCAGCAGAGGAGGCGCTGAGCGGTTCGCTGGTGCAGCGAGGGGCGCAGAGGAGCAGGGGTCCGGGCAGCAGCCTTCCTGGCTCCCGACACAACAAAGGGCTTGGCATGCAACCTCCACTGCTGCTCCGCCAGTAACTTCCCCACAACTCCCAGTGCAGCCTCCTCTTACCCCGAGCAACGGCCCCGCTCACAGCCCCGGCGGCAGGAGAGCCACAGGCATGTCCCCGGGCATCTCACCGCAGCGCTTCCCTGGAGCTCAGCTCTGCCATGGGGCTGAGCAGCTCCCCTCGCCCATTGTTAAAGGGCTAAGCAGGCAAGTGTGTATACAAAGCCAGGGAGCAGGCACATGCCGCTGGGCCTCTGCCAATCTACTTTCGTTTTACATCGTGGTCTGGCCCAAGAGCTCCAATCACGGCCCAGCATTCACGGGCGCACAAGCTCTCCACTCTACTGCCACATGCAAGGAGCCTTTGGACCCATTGGGCTGCCGTAGCCGCCCAGACTGAAAGATTTTGGGGGGGCGGGGGGGAAACGTGGGAAGAGGAGAACCATGGGACGCGGCTTTGCACAGCCTGCTTTTCCTTCACGTTTCCAGCCGCTTAGGGGCTGCTAGTGTCTCTCTCTCCGTGTACACGCCGCCTTTGTGCTACATATAAGTAATGTATGTCTGTATATAAGTACACACACGAGTGTCCATTGCGTCAGGAAGGGTTGCAAAGGGAAGGCAAAGAAGGAGAAAAAAACGATAAGCGCGTGTGTTTTTCTTTCTTGGCATGAGAGTAATCTGCAGATTGCGTGGTGCGGGTCTCTGCATGCAGTGTGGTGCAAAAGAGAAGGTAGGATCAGGTTTCAGGGAGAAGCTCCCTGAGGACCTTGCACTTTAAACTGGAGGAGTTCTGAGTTGGCTGGAAAATGCTGGGTTTCAGCTTCAGAAACACTGCAGTTCCAACTCCTTAAAACACGTTTTTGTTTAATTGTTGCCTATATTTTATCACTTCAGTCTTCATTAAATTATAAAAGAAGAACAGGAGTCCTTGTACTCCTGTTCTTCTTTTTGCGGATAAAGACTAACACGGCTGCTACTCTAAAACCTGTCATTAAATTATAGTATCACTGGAAGATAGATACCATAATTCACATTAACTGTTTATGGGTGAAATATTAATTCCTAGTAAGTACTGCACAGAATTAGGTGCCTATTTAAATATAAAGAAAGAGACAAGCACTTTCTGTGTAATTTTAGTGGCTAGAGTTTTGATCCAATGTAATTCACCTTAAAACTAGAAGCTTTTCCAAATTCTTCAATTTCCTGTGTTAATTTTAACAGACACTTATTGGTTAGATAACATTAATAAACACTGTTCAGATGCAAAGCCAATTTATAGTAAGAATTTTATGTAGTAGCAAAATGCATAGTCCTGCAAAACCCTGTTGAATATAGAATATAGAAGCACCCTGGATTTAGAAGTAGACAAGATACTCTTATTGCAAAACTCTAGGAAGTTCACTATTTTTTGTCTATTTCTGTGTGTCTTTGGGCCAGGGTTGGTTATTTATTCTGTGTTTGTACAATGGCTAGTAAAACAGATCTTCAGTGAGGCCTTAATGCAAATAATACATACCTTAATGATGATAATTAATAATGAGCACCCCCAACTTCCATTGAAGACCAAACTTCAGAGTTTTGAATCCAGAATGACCAGTGTTGAATACAAGAGTCTGATCTTGCTAGATGCTGAACACCTGAAGTCCTTTTGACTAGTGCTCAGCACCTTCTTCTCTGAATGCCTTCATTGGGTCTTGAGGGGTGCTTATCATCTCTCACTAGGCACTCAGCACTTGCAGGATTGGACTTGATGCCTCTAGGCTTTTAGGCAGAATACGCTTTAACCTTCATATAAACTCACGAAGTTCTGCTAACAAGAGAAACATTTGATGATGTTTCCATTCTTTCAAGCAGACAATGGTTCACTCTGAAATGAATGCACAGCCTTGATGCTGGTGACTCTTGTGCTCTCATGTGGAGTTCCAGGCGGGGGCCTAATCACTCTCTCCTGCTGAAAAGTTTCATTATCCTTTCCTCCATGTGTATGGCAGCCTAGTAGAAGGAGAAGGGCCCACTGAGACTGGAGATCCGTGACACCTACCCACACATGAAGAAGTTGCTCCTTGGTGCACTCCCTGGGAAGCCCAGTTGCCCATTCCAAATCTCGTGTTGAGGAGCTAATGCTAGTCTGACTACAATAAAGACTGGCAATTTGCACAGCTTTTAGGACCCCTTCCAAGGCAAATATGCTGCATAGAGAAACTGTTACCTGGTTCCGCCTCCAACTAGCCATGCCCCCACATGAACGTGTGGAGGACCAACTGCCTGATGTTCATCCAGGGTGATGGAGGGAGGGTATGGGGCGTTCCATAGGTTCTGGAAGAGCAAGAAGCAGTGTTACCAACTCTCACAATTTTATCATGAGTCTTGTGATATTTGGTGTTTTTCTTAAAGTCCCAGCTGGCGGTGTCAGGAGATTGCATGAGAATCTCAGCTTTCATTTAAAATAAAAAAGCAATTTTCTAGCTAATGGTTTAAGAGAAAACATGACGTTAGTGCACCCTAAAAGTTCAGAAACCAAGAAGCAAAGAAAAAGATCCCAAATTTCATTATTGTTTAAAAAAACTCATGATTTTAAGCAAATCTCATGATTTTGGGGGTCCTGATTCATGTACACTTGGGGTTGACAATATCGGAGAAGCATCACTCCCAGCCCACATTCTCACATATTAGCTCCTCACCCTATGATAAGAGGATAGGAGCACCCAACTCTTGGGTTGCAAAAAGGCATACAACAGAAAAAAATGACTCTGCTCTTAGAACTACTTTACTTGTCAGTTCTTGTATGCTGTGAAATATATAAAGACCAGGCAGAAAGTTTGTAATAGTAATTTACACACTGAAGGCTTGTCTACACTGACATGCTAAATTGGCGCTGTTGTGTTTGATGCAGCGGCATTGATTTAGCTGGTCTGGTGAAGACACAATAAGTCAATGGCAGACCACTCTCCCGTCAACTTCAGTACTCCACCTCCCCGAGAGGCGGAAGGTAAGTCAGCAGAAGAGCGTCTCCCACCGACATAACGTGGTGTAGACACCGCGTTAGGTCAATGTAAGCTACGTCATTCAGAGGGGTGATTTTTTCACATCCCCTGAGCAACTTAACTTACATCGATTTAAGTGGCAGTATAATTCAGGCCAATAGTCTACAGACCTGCAGATTGAATGAATTGACTTCTGTCATGTGTAAAAGATTATTATGTAACAAGTATTTGTGTTTCTGATTTAGCAATAGGCATTCTGCACCTGTGTGATACTTAGGCTATCTTTTCCTAGACATTTTTTCCATCAGCAATTTGTTGTCAGTACTTACTACTTGCTACAGAAATCATCTAGCAGATACTCCTGAGGGAATTCTGTGCCACTGCTCATGCACAGTATTTATGTCCCCCACAGATTTCTTTGTTTCCCCACAGAAAAATGACTTTCTGATGGGGAAGCCACAAGAGCGGTCATGCAACCCTTACCAGCAGTATGTTTCGGGTGCCCAGGACAGCTGAGAGAGAGGTAAATCACTGTGGGGCAGAAGGCATAACTGGGAAAGACCCGGCTGGTGGCTCCTACCCTGCACTGTGCTCAGCTGCTAGTCCCAGCTGGGCTGGGGAGAACGGGACTTCCTCTTCCCCTGCATGGCATCCAGGGCTGGGTCAGACCCACTCCCAGATTTCTTCCCCAGCTGCAGGAAGCTCTGCAAATTCCTCCACCCCCAAACCCTGCTTCCTGCACCCATCGCTCCACAGCTGCAGAGGGAGGGATTCCTGTACAGGGAGCTGATCCCCTATCCACCCAACCCTTGAGCATCCAGACCCCCTCATATCCGGACCCTCTTGCCGAGCCTTACCCTCCACACTCAGAACCCCCTTGGCCGAGCCTCGCTCCCCCTGCACCTGGACCACCCCGACGAACCATCTGCACCCAGATCCCTATCCCACCGAGCCTCAACCAGCTGCACCTGGATCCCCACTGCACTCAGCCCCACTCCCCCAGCACCTGCCCCCCCCCACTATGACCCCCCCCCGCTGATCTCTATCTCCCCCAATCCAGACCCCCACCCCCTCTGAGCCCCAACCATGTTCACCTAGACTCCCCTGCAGAGTCCCATTACTGTGGCACCAGAACCCTGCAACAAGCCCCTGTGCATCAAGATCCCCCCACACTCAGATCCCCCACTGAGCCACCTGCACCCAGATTTCCCCACACAGAACCCTTTCAACCCACACCTGGATCCCCCCACGCTAAGTCCTGCCTTGCTGAGCCTGCCTGCCCACACCTGGTGCACCTGGCACAGATGGGCAAGGCCCTGGGGTGTTTCTGGGGCAGGCCTGGTCCTTGTGCTGTGTCAGGGTTGGGTGCAGCCTCACCGCTGAGTCCATGTCCCAGGGGAAGCTGCACAGTGATCTCCCACTTCTGTGCAGCCAGTGGCCTGTGCTTCCCAATGCCATGCTGGAGCCTCCACATTTATTTGACAAAATTTGCAGAATTTTAAAATATTGTGCATAGAATTTTTGATTTTTTGGTGCAGAATTTTAAATTTTTTTTGGTGCAGAATGCCCTCAGGAGTAACCAGAAACAATACTTAGCACTTTATAATGCTTTACCTCTTCAAATAGCGGGTCAAAATTCAATTAGTTACTGAGAATGCAAAATCTAGAATGACATATGGTGAAAAGCCATGAAGAAGAAGTGATGTGGATACAGCTTACTTTAAAAGGAGCACACTGTAATTCATCATCTTAATACCTGCTCAGGCATGATTTACTCTTTAAAAATGAAACCATGTTTGGGTGTGGGTTTTTTGTTTTTTTTTCATAACCAGTGTGATGACTCCTTGGCTAGGCCTGTAAAGGCCTGATCCTGGAAACACTTAGGGCTTATCTACACTGGCAAGTTTTGTGCCCAAAAACTGCCTTTTGGCGACAAAACAGCAAGAGTGTACACACTACAATGGGACTTTTGTCGTGAAAAACACCCAGTTTTTGTGACAAAAAACTTCCACCCCTATGAGGGACTTTTGTCTTTTCCCCTCCCTTTATTGTCGACAAAGAGCCAGTGTAGACACTGCTGATTGTTTTGTAGATGGAACTGGCAGAGCTGATTGCTCTGCTCAGTGTTTTGATCTCTGCTGCCCTGCAGGCATGCGCCCCTCCCCTTTCAAATCTCCAAGAAGTATCTGTGTGCTGCTTCATGTGGGTAATCATTGGAATGTTCCTGTTCTGCCCGGCACTAGGAACGCAGCAGCAGGCAGACTGCTGCTGCAGGGCAAGGGGGACAGACTGCTGTGCTGCTTTGCCATTCCTCAGCACGGAGAGCTCACAGAACTACTCATGACGCTACTCTCGGCAGCTGAGGGGTCTGTGGGAGAGCACGGAGAGAATCTCAAGATGCGCAGCGATCAGCTCTTCCTACCCACAACACTGCACTGTGGGATACAT